TTCGTGGGATAGCTGAAACAAAGAAGACGCCATTTGTCACTTTGTTTTTGTGATGTATGCGGTAAGATTCGATTATTGTTTACGCAAATTATCGCAATCAACGTACTTCTATCAGACAGAAAATATAGTTCACAAAACAATTTTCATTCTTTACTTCGATGGATGATTTTTGTGATATTGTGCTTCATTTAACCTGAACGGTCATAACCACAATTACGAATAAAAGTAAATTTGGACCTGAATTGCAATCGAATTTTTAAAACGTTGGTGGTTATAAGTATATCTAAATGTACTAGGAGCAAACCGTTTTTACTCCCATTCTTATTTTTGGTCTCAGGTTGATCGAATCCCACATGATAAGTTATGAATTTTTCAACATTGCATTTTTCATACAAGAGAAATTTCCATACCTCATACCGGAAGGCACTAAAATGTTTTTACGATAGGTTTCGAGTTCTGTTTACAAGACTCATTACAGTTACATTATAAATAAATGAGAGGCATTATTTTAGAAAGTCGTGATTTAACTACGTGCCGTTCGACTAACATCACATTACTCCTGAAGTTTCGGTGTGTTCCGTGTAATGACCTATGCTTTATCCTGGCTTCTGTAATCGTATTGCGCCATTAAAATATAACCAAATTTTTAGGTTCCAATGAAATTGGAACTTCAATGTTGGAATTTGTTCAAATTTTTCTTATTTGTTAAGATTTTCGAATCACAACAAGAAACTATTTAAGCCAGAAAACTAATTTTTTGTTTAATAGCTTCTGATGTAAAAACTGTATCTGAAGCAGTATGGTTATTTTCCATTTACTTTATATGAACACTTAACTCACTAATCAATGCTTCATATATACCTTCACTGATTATTATCAGAGTATGCAAGCTGTTAAATATCATGTTACTTTCATTAATTGTAAGATCGCATTCTTTTGCCAACGATTAACGCAATCAAACCATTTCGAGACACTTTCTTGAAATGGTAACATTTTTATTTTTTTAACGCAATGGTTTGAAAAGTTAAATTTTCTGTGTTTATGGAAGTTATAAACCAACTCATTCCTACAATATAAACGCTGAGTGAAACTGCATGTTTTCAGAACTAGATAACAACCTTACTGAAATTTAATGTGAGAAATGCAACTAAAACTTTCGGCTCACTATTATCGTATCAATTAAGGCGTGGTTTATGAGAATACAAAATGAAATATAATCATATGCCAAAATGAAAGTGCAAATTTGACAAGGGAATAAGGAATGCAGCGGAAGTAGCTTAATTAATGAGAGGTTATGTGTTGTGCAGACGTCTTGTCCCGGTCATATAAATGCAAAAGGATAGGAATGTCCAATAACAAACGTGCAAACATTACGGTTTGAATTTGGAATCATGATTCATAATAATTATATTTAAGACTTAAAAAGAAAAAATTCCGACGTTAAGATTATGTATTTTTTATAATTATTTTGTTATAGTTAAATAATTTTCATACACAGGATGTATAAGGTGAAATTTTGTTTATATAATTCATTCCTGAAATCTTTGTGCACGTTCGGGTTTTATATTTTAGATACTTTGGATATAAAATCAAAACGTAATGTAGATGAATAAATTGCTTTTACGAGTGGTTTTAGAGTTGAAAATGAAACAATATTGCTCAATAATAAGCATGTGAGTTTTCCAAGGCTATTGTATGATGCCATATCACATACGTTTACAAATATAAAACAGTTATGTAATGCTTGTACGACTCATAATGCAACGGAATTTGCTGCAATTTTTCATTTGCATATAACTTCTAATATCTGGTTAATTTCTGCATGTGTGATGTTATTATTCAACACATGTAATTATTTAACCGCGGTCGCATGACAGTGCGGAGTTTTCAGATAGCTTTCGTCATATTTTATTTTATGTAACTTTTGTAACGCGTACAAGTTTCTAACAACATCAAGCAATTGACAAATAATTCACTCTAACCTTCCCACTCATTTTTTTATCCGGTAAATGCATTATTCAAATTATCATGTTACGAAGTCACTGTCTCACCAACGTAAAAATTATTACATATGGGTTTTGACTTTTGACTTGTTTTCGCCTATTATCAAAATACAGGGGACATAAAAACAAAAACCAGGCCACTTGAACCATATTATAAATTAAGCATAACTTTTGTGCAAAGCGTCTTAGATTACTTAAACTTTTGGGTACAATCATACACAGACAGCAGTTCAAATGTCCAATCGTTAAATGAAATTTCTTCATTTTCGTATAAGTATTTAATAAGCGGATTCATTCAATTCTTTGTGTCTATGTTAGATTTAAACTCCACAAATTAAAAGCAAGACGTGTTAGAAGCTTTTTGTAAGATATAAAAGTTTTAGTCGTGCTATCACTTTATAAATAATAATTGACCTCTTAGCCCACAAGGGCAATTAATTACATCGTAATGTAAAACAAATTTTGTGAGTTTTGAAACTTTACAAATATTTCCAGACTATAACGAACATTTGTAAAAAAAAATAAATTAATTACATATTTTTCAATATTTGGAAATGGGGTTGGAATCACTTCAGATCCCGAAAACGTGCACCGTGCAGACGTCTACAAAGTAATTTCAAAATGCATTTTTTGAGTGGTTGCTGCCGTTACCTTTTGACCTGAGTTCAATCTAAATGTGCAATTAGTTTTATTTGTACTGAAATTGAATATAATTAATCACGGGTAACATGGAGAAACTTTCTAATCTTTCATTACCCATGCCAGTTAGACGATTCGATGTGACCTTAAAATGTCAGAGAAACTCGGTAACTGGTTTTTAAACTTTTTTAAAAAAAAGGCTGTCTTGTCCTGTCTTATATTTGCTCACGACTTTTTGATGAGGAATTCAAATTTGACGTAAATTTAAAATTGGCGTCGACCTAGTAGTCTAGACTAGTATATATATATATATATATATATAAGCACTTTCAAATTTATACTTTTACTTTTACTTTTAATCCAATAATTAATTAACTGGCACCATTGGAAGGATTCCACATTCCATCTATCGGTCACGAACACTCAGGTGTTTTCCTTTCAACTGTCTCGACAGAAGCACATAGTTTAAAAAACTTGGCAAAACAACCTTATTGAGCTATCGCGCTTTATGCTGTATTAAACTAAAAATATCATACTGTACATTCGAAAAATGAATTAAACCATTTTAATAAACATTATAAAATAATTTGTGAAACAAGACATCATTGTCCAATTCAATTCCAAACTCGTTGCTGATTAAAAAACTGGTTGCATTCTATATAGTTTACTCAATTTAGCAACAAATCTATTTCAAATCAACATTTTGCGTGTATGTAATACCATTATGTTGAGGTTGCCCATGTATTTAGTTAAATAATCACGATCTGTGAGGTAATGCCTAAATGTCTTAAGCATTGTTTTATATCTGATGTATTTTTAGAAAATAAATTAATATTATTTTTTTGCAGTTATTGATATCAATACGAGAAAATTTACGAGATAGCTACAGCACCATATACGTATATTTGTACAATGCTTCCCTTTTTCTATTACATGCATTTACAGTTTACAATTATACATAATTAAATTGGTACAATTTTAATAAAAGGTTTTAAGTGCAATTGGGGTGGTAGAAAATTTGATGAAAAAACTCTTTCACTATAAATTTACTATATTTCATTACAAATATTCTAGCATTTTTCAATAGCGATTGAGTTTTCGAATCTGTATCATGTAAAATGCTTGAATATTACAGATTTTCGATGTATTCTCTTATTTAAAGTCAGATTTCAATATCTTTTGGTGTATGTTGTTAAATTTTGAAAAGAAATATTCAACATAATTCTGGGAATCTTCAAAATAAATACATTTTGCCTTTCGGGTAGAATTATTCCTTATTATATATGAAATATATACATATTCTATAATAAGTTAGAACCTTGGTACAACATGATACAGTTAATTAACACTCATATCTAATCAAACAAAAGCCAATGATAAAAGTAAAGTTTGAACATATTATGACATTCAATGAAAGTCAATAATGAATTGTAAAATGACATGATGGAAAGTTGTCAATTTTTGTAGTTTCACCTTCGAGATTATATGAGTTATCATCACGCTGCCCTGTGACTGCTTATTTTTAATAAAAATTAAAGTTCGGTGTTTATAATTAATTACTTTTTGAATGAATCATTCACAGTTTATAAAACCTCATTAAAGGTGAAGTGAAAGCCGGAAGTGAAACAATTTATCAATGTTGCCATTTGAGTTTTTAGTATTATTTTGCAGTAAATTATCGCATATTTTTGGCAAAAAAAGAATATTCGTTGTTCCTGTCTTTTTGATTTTTATGAAAATCAAAACGTAGATGAAACACTGTGAAGAATAGCTTAGAACCTCACATGATGGACAGTGTCAAATCAAATGTAGGCAATATTTAAATTCGTGTAGTTTTCTAGTATGTGATATTTGGGACAAAAAATGTTAAGATACCTAAATTTCAAAAAATTCCACTTTATTTGCCGTATGTATTCACATATCTAGAAATATTATGCAAACAAAAATGGCTCAATAATATTGCCTGACAGACATAAGATAGTATAGTTGTTTGCCTTTAAAGATGCTTACTTTACCGTACATGATGCAAGGTTTTGGGGTATTTCAGATTTTGAAATCGAGACCGAGTTGCCAACCACGATGATCACGTTTGAGTCAAATAGTTGAAATAAATTTTTGTTCAATTCCATATTTGAAGTTATGATTTTGTTTTACGTAATAGCAATGAATAAACGAACAGATTGTTTTGATTGTAATAATACTTTATGATTTTTTATAAATATAATTGTCAAATACTGATTCTCTTTTTTGTTCACATGTGCAAAATTTACAGGCAGTATCTGTCAAACATATTATTTTAGTATACATGTTCATTTTATTTTAAATACAAAACTAAATGATTCTATATTTATACTTTAGATTTGTACCGTATGTGGAAAAGCTTTCATCAACATCCACCGACTGCAAAGACATATGCTGACACATACAACAGGTTTCTAATATTCTATATACTGTATATTTAACAACAGCAGGTAGGTTGATGGATATTTTAAGATTCTATAAACATTACAAGAAATTATTGATAGCGATCTCATCTGATTCAAAAGGATGGCGCTGATTTGGGGATTTTTTATTCAATCGAAATATATATTTTTATGTAATATACTTTTCAGAGAACCGCAAGTTTAAGTGTGAAGAGTGTGGCAAAGCATTCAAGTACAAGCATCATTTAACAGAACATCACCGAATACATAGTGGAGAAAAACCGTACGAATGTCCAAATCCCACTTGTAGCAAGAGATTTTCTCATTCAGGATCATACAGGTATATATGTCGATTGCATATAGTATCAATTAGAATTCTAATTCTGTTTTTCTTCCTTACTGTCGAAGACCATAGTTTTAAATATTCTGATATATATGTCATTTTCTGATCCAAGTATTTCGTATCATTGTCATCTCACGAACTCGCTATAGTAGATCCTAATAAAGGAATCGCTATGCTATCAATTGACGACGTCACGTAAACTAGACTGAAATCATTTGATGAGTAAGTAATTGAGTGGACCAAGTTTGACAGTCAGAGTCTTATTTGTCTTTCAGGTGTTTCCGGTTGTTAATTTAAATTTGTTGATTCAAATCTGACAGAAATTCATGACCTAATGACGTCAAAACTAAACGTACATGAATCAAAACATGTTAGGAATAACAAAAACTTATCGAATAGTAGCGATGAAGTGTGCATAGATAAGTGATGCATTGTGGGCAACAATATTGCAAACATAACGATTGTTTATAACTAATTATAGATATCAGATTCAGATACCAAATAGGGTCTAAATTTGGCTAACCATTGGAACTGCACTTTTAAGTTATAAACAAATATATCTGTTTTTCATATCACTCGAAACCGTTTTGGATCCTAACACGTTCTGGAATTCTCCCCAGTGATAGAAATAGGTTGCCTGTTTGATAAAAACACAGAACAATAAAAATATTAAAGTCACAGTTGAAGGCAAATTAGGATCTTTCATCGACCAACAATAAACATAGTATGGCCATGTATATTTATAATCACATCATATTTATAATCTTATATACATCTCTATATTATTGAGCGCACGATGATAAAGCATTCTCGGGAGGCGACGTTAGGTGACGCCACTAGAGATCCATATGCGACGAGGTAGTAACTTCGTGACCGTTGAGGTGCACACCAACGCGATGTGATTATTGGAGACTCCACATAGAACGTGTCAATCGTGGCGGTCTCAGCGTCATATGCGACCTACTTTATGAAATCGTGTACATATTGATGCGAAGATTTTTCACGTGTTATATAGAACATCATAAAATAGCGAGAAAAGTGTAATAAAATATTGCAAAGCAACATATGAAATATCATGGAAAAACTTTTATAATTTATCTAAAGCAAAAACAAACTCAAGTTGCACGAATGCTGACTAGAACCGATAATAATCACATATCATGACGAAAAAAATAAAATAAAAAATGTTCCTATTAAAACATTTGTGATGAAAATAATACAATCTTTCATTCCAGCTCCCATATTAGCAGTAAGAAGTGTATTGGAGGACTGAAGTCTTCATCAATTCCTTCTGGCAGTAATTCACCATCGTCAACTAAGGACTGTTACTCTAAAGAAAAAGACGAATCAGATTGTAATTCCAACAGGTATATAAAGTATTATATTTTCGACCAATATAGTCAGACATGCAACTATACTTTAAAAGTGTGAATGTATTTATTCTTATCGGCGTCTTATTTGCCTGTTGCGCACATTTAGCGACGAGTATGCACCGTAATGAAATCTGTTTATCTGTTTCAATCTTTTGTTCTGTCCGGTCTGGAAAAACTAAAAATTATGTACTGGCATTGCTTTCGCACAAACTAAAGTAGTGACTTTAACGTTGTACAAAAAATCGGTGTTGAATAAACTTTGCTAATATGATTGTTGCCTTTCATACTCTAATCAGAAATATTGTACAACACTGGGACACGGAACTTAACGATTTTGTTAAAAGCTAGATATCTAAATCAATTAGATAGATCCAGCAACAAAGTTCCATGTACAATTCTTTTAACTCGATGAAATTGTAGAATATGCCTTGAACGTTATTTTCGTATATTTAGCGGTGGTTATCTATTTAGTGCACCTAACAAAAAACATTCTGACCAAACCTAAATTCAAAGTATTCAGTGGCGCGGTGACATTACGTATACATGGATTGCCAATTACGTGGATATATCTGTAGCTTTAGTTCGATTTTATAACAGTATAGAGATTGATGACTTTCTATAATATTTTCGTATTATTTTTCCCGATTTCATTCAAAATTTTGAATGAAACATCCGTTTTGAGTCAACCCATGGCGCAAGGTGTCAGGCGGGAGCGCCGACAATACACACGCATTTGCACTTCCCTCATAATAAAAACAAACAAGAAAACAACGAAAATAAAAATAAAATTACTCACGGGAGCAAACTATGTATACCTGCAAAACCTTTTGTGTTATGCAAACTTCGTGTCATGTTTAATGTTTATGGAGCGGGGTAGAAAGAAGAATCAGACAATTTAAGTTTCACCCAGTCAGATAATGTTTTTGAATCATATCACTACGAGATGGGGCCATAGAAGAAGCGCGCTTAAACTAAATACTATTTTGATTATGCTTGAACTATCACATATTTCAGTTAGGTTGTAATGCACCAATAATCTGTGGGGCATACTTATATGGGTTTGTTGTTTTTATAAAGCTTTGATAGAAAGAAAAAAAAACGAATTTAGAAATAATACACATTTCTCATAAGCGGTCACCAGCGACTTACTCAATCTTTGTTATGTTCAACTTGTTACAATTCCTCGCCACACCGCTTTGAGTAAGTATTTTTGAAACGAAGGATATATTTCCATTTTAGAGCAGACGATCTAGCTAGACTCTATAGTATGCCCCCAGTTGTGTCCGAGAAAGTACGAACATTTTTATGAGAAATTCAAAATTTAAAATATTGTATTTCTTCTAAAAATATAGTATTGAAGTTGCTGGTTTATTTTTTAAAACTCATCTTCTGGTAAATATAGTGTTCGTTATTCAAAGATGAAAATGTTATAAATTAGTTTTTATCTTTTATATATAAAAATTTAAAAACTGATGTAACACTCCAATACTTGCTAAATCGTTAGTAGGAATATTCATGAGAACTTGTATGGATTATAGAGTAAATCTTTAGTTATATTCGATAATCCCAAAGTTTTATTGATAGAAAACCCGAGTATGTGTGTATTTCTTCATATCGTTCCGCGACTAGTTTTTGTTTTGTTACAGAAGATTGAAGTATGTAAAACATTGACTTATTTTTTACCCGGGAATCAGGGCGATACTGAGTCTATATTTAAATATATAATATATAGCAAACATTAAGTCATATATTATATAAACTATCGGTTTTCATAGATATAAATTCATATTCAAAGACCACAGCAGTTTTTTGTTATTACTTTTTAACATTGATATATATTGTGTTCTGAGAATATTAGGATATTTTGCAGTGTTCCAGCACTATATATCTACGCATTCAAGCTTCTGAGTTTATGCTATTGTGTTTAGTTTAATTGTCTCATGTTATTACTGAAAAAGATTCCCCAACAATTTACTGTCGGTCAACGGCCTTAGGTTTAGGTTGCATTGCAAATCACGTGTTGTACGCTTCACAAAACTTTTAAAAATGTAATGAGTAACCAGCATATTACGTCGCAGTTCGATGGTGCTGTCAAAATTTAGTTTGATGATCAATTGGAATTTTTCAAATTTGGACTCACACTGTCGGTGACGCTTTTGTTGGGTCTAGTCACCTAATGTCTGTCTGTAGGTTTTTACGGACATCCGAACTTTGTCAAAATTGCAACAAAATGACTATACGGTATGCAAGTTTCCACCTATGATCGACTGTCGCACAAAAATCGTATCTTTCTGATAGACGTTCGTGTGACACCTCATTGTCCCTGTGCCATGACATCATCACTAATTAGTACAGGGATGTGGGATGGTTTCGGTACGTTCGATGAACATTTTGCTTGCTATGCAAGGTCATAACCATGAACCCATCTACTTGTTAAATACAGTTCAAATATTGATGCGAACAAACAGAGAGCAGTCTCGTTTTCATCCAAAGTTTTCGATCAAATTATTTTCTTGGAATTGGTGTTTTATGAACATCAAGATTCGTGTGTCCGGAGCAATTAATCTTTGTCATTATTGTTCAATGTTTCCGCAAATAAATTTTCCCGATTTCCACACATTTAATTAATGGTACAATTTCAGGTTTAGCATCTTTGAGATTCAGAATAAAAAAGGCAAACTATTATTAAACTATTTCAAATTCTCTGTTTCGTTTAGAAAAATCACATAAATTAAATTCATATATGAAAATTAGTAGAAATATTTTAATGTTGCGCTGACATTAGTTTGTAGGAATTAAAATGGTCAACACTAATGATTGAAAATCGGAACTTATTTCGGTGTCTTCATGAAAGGAAGTGTAAATTTGTATTTGATATTAGAAACCGAAAAAAAAATTGAACAAATTATAGTCATGCATGTAAATCGTTTATAAATATAATTATCTTAATTGAATAAATATGATAGGTTAAATGACGCGATGACAGAACAAAACCTCATACTTCATTATTGTTACTTTTATATACGTTTTTTATAGAACGCCCTTGACATTTCAAGAAAAGATAAGATTAAGATGCTTTGATTATTTTTAAGCTTGCTTCTGAGATAATGGCAAGTGTGCAATTCCATGAAACCATTTCCTATGCAATTTCCATATCTACGCTTTTTATTGGCGGAAGACTTTCGAAAGGTGTCATTAGGTGGTTTTGAAAACATCATGCATTGGCGTGATACCATGAACTCACACGTGATTCCACTGCCAAAGAACAAGTTTTTTCTATAGATAATTATTTATAATCGCGAAATAGGATGGCCCGCATAGCATATACTATCATCAAACAGGAACCACCAAATTAATATTATATGTAATACACATATGATGTTGCATTGTCATGGAAAATTCCATTCCGGTCTCGTGATTGCGACGATTGTACTTTCATATGAGTCATATACTTTGGAATTGAAAATGGTTCTAAGACATAGAGAATCCTCATATCACGACCTGGAATTTGTTTTATCAGTTAGGTTGTGAATATATTAATTATAGTTCACAGTGGATATAATTTAAGCTTGACCATACTTGGGCTTATCGAATGACGAGAATTTAAGAAGATTGCAAGAGATTCGGGGACGTTTCAACAGCAATTTATATATGTTTTCAAAACATTCTTTTACAAAATTATTTACCATAAATAATGAAAAACACTTTTTTTTTCTTTGAAAACGATTTATAATTTCTGACGCACACTTAGTGATTTATAATACAAATAAATCAAGATTTTCGATGTAATATTATCTTATTGTAACTCCTGACTTGAAAGATTTTGTCATACTTATTTCGCTTTTCCCCACACTGATCTGTTACACTCAAAGAATACGAACGAACTAGCTTAACTACACTTCAATTCCAAAAAATTATTAAAGCATTGATTCGATTGTTTGAGGTGTAAAGTAAATGTTATATAGTAAAATCTATTAGCGGCTTAACCAAGAATTAACTGACGAATTATTTGATCAAGTCATTACATCCACGGTTTGATGTCAGCTTAACATTGTCCGAATTATGATGAAACGCGTGTCTTCCGATGTAAGTTCTTTATTTAATTAATGCATTACCAATTACATTTGATGTCAGGTGTGATATTGTGCGATTTCGCCACCAATGCCGGCCGAACTGTTCTGAAGATCAAATAGGTCCAAAAAGAGAACTATATTGAACACGATTAAAGTAAAATGCTTATTTGGTTTAATATGCAACATGAATGGAATTAGTGGGATCGCGACAATCTTGCCCTTTCTCAATTCAATATATATTTTTTCTTTTAGACAAGAAATGAGCCTAAGCAAATATAGGCCTCGTATATCCGATAAAAAGCTGTTATATCTGTCAATTTATATGAAAATTGCAAATTTACCTCTTTTCCATCATCTGAAAGACTGTGAAACGATATTTATAATATTCAATATTATTCAATATATTCGATATGAAGTTTGTAAATATATATTCTAATAAATTATATTGAGTTGTATGAATATAAAAAAGTTTCGGATTTAATTAATGATTTCAATTACAGTCAAATTAGGTTTATAAAATAATGTCAAAAACCACGCTTTCCGATTTTCTCCATATATTTCGATTTCGCATATCTAGATTAAATTACCCAAAAATATCAGTTAGTTTCGACCATTTTCTAATAAATTTGAATATGTCAAGATAAAAATTCTTTTGACTCTCAGAAAGAAAATTGGTTACCACTTTTATGTATTTCTAAATGATATACACGTAGATGGTCATCAATCCCAGTAAATAAAATATTTCAACGCCTTCGTTCGGTGAACGGCTGCATCGTCGACGGCGATATTTATTAATTCCCAGAACCGAGAGTTCGTCGTTACAATTTCTAATGATAGAAGAGTGTAGAGAAATTTTGCCCCAATGAAAATTGCTTCAGCAAGCGACGACGTTAAAGGTCCGCGGCGTTTTTTCAGAATAAAATGTTTTTATTTCGTGCGGACCTCATACACGAAACATTTGAATATACGTACTGTCACGATATCAACAGTATTGGTCACGAACAGCTATCGTATGAAGAATGAAATGCTTTTTATGTTCGTTTGGTTCACCGTTAAGAAACATCCGAGAAACATACTTTAAGACAGCCTTTTTTTTTGTCAATGAACAAGACTAATTTTGTACCAATATGCGGTTATTCCATTAAAGCGATTATTGGCGTTTCAATTTCAAAAAAGCGTTACGTAATAGTTTGACGATTAGTTACAGATCGCCACTCCAATTAGAATGTGGTCAATTGGATATCAATATATCAAAACGGACAAAACCTGGTGCATTTAATCAGAGAAGTTCAACTTGTCGTTATTGACAGCCTTCTAATAATAGTTTTTATATGAAGTGTTTTTCGTTACTTAGCTGTCCATTGCATCGAAAGTTGCGTTGATGTCACAATGCAGTACACCCATCCATAAATTAGCTATAAGGTTGATATATGTTATAGCAGAAAAAAATGAATTATATGAATAAAAAATTTACATACAATTTTTCAAAATTAGTATTCTACGCCTATAAATATAAACTAATGAAATGAATTTTCTTCGCGTTCATTCAAGGACATTCATTTCTCTAAAAGTGATAAATTACCTTATTGGAATGTGAAGTTTCTTCCCTGTTGTATCTTTGCATGATAGAAGCCAGTTTTGCATTAAATATGGATCATATGAACGCTAACTGCATACACGCACGCAATATTTTTCATAGTATTGAGAAATATAATAGATTAATATCAAATGTAATTAATCGCAGATGTTTCATTTAGCCTGCGCATGACCTCGCGACCAAATGAACGTCATCAACAACGTTTTTTAAACAGTTACGAAAGAGTAAATGTGAAAACGAATGGTAACGTAACCGTCGTGAATGAATGTTTTGACCATCAAAAAGTTTAATCTCTAAGAATCTTTTTTCTGGGCCTACAGATACTCCCTTATTATCAAGCATTTTTCTGCAAAAATTGAATGATCGATATACTGTAGACTCCAAATTACTGGTGTGAGGTAATTGAGTTATGTGTTTCATGATTACCATGTACGGATATACCCCACTCTGGGAAGTACTCCGCTTGAAAACAACTCATCCCAAATTTCAATCGGGTTCTTTTTTCACTTACTCCTCCTGGGTGATCCTTTTTAATGTATTTATTTCTTATGCTTCAGCGACTTTAAATTTTTAGAAGTGGCGGTTAATCACCAAGTAATTCGAAGGAAACGGATGGCGCAAATAATTTGTATAAATGCAAAAAAATCATGTGAAAAGTATGCTCTTAATGTCTAACGATGAAAATCATTAAGCTTGCATTCGTAGAATGGACTTGTATTTACTTATGGTGTCATCTTTTATAGAAAGTAAGAAATCGTAAAAAGGTCAACGTTGGATTAAAATGACACGTTTTCGGACTGCATGTGAGACACGCGTATAAAACCTTTGCACCGAAGGAAGATTTACTTATTTGTGATTGCTAACAACATTCGGTGGTAGTTAACCTCGAATTATAACGCGGGTGAGAGATGGAAAGAATGAATGAGTGATTAAGAAAAGAGAAGGCAAATTTAATATCTTTGATTTCGCAACACTCGAGCTTATCTGGGAATTCATATTTAAGCGTAACGTTCGGATTCTATATTACATATAGACTACATGTTGTCTTGCCTTCTTAAATTCCTAAATATGCAAAAATCTATCTTGTGGTTTTTCTGCAGGAGCATATTTAGGTAACACCCACAATATTTTAAGAAGAAAAAATACAACATTATTATTAAATATTACTTGCTCATAGAAAGGCAGGAAATAGTGCGTGAATAGAACATGCTCTATAGCTTTATATAAAAATGATGGCAATATAATAGGTGGAATAAAAAAAGCAAAATATACCTTTCGCTGTGCCATTGTATTTTGGAATAGCGCGGTGCAGGGCAATTGAGAGTGCGGTTGTAGTTGCAGGTAGGGTTATTCAAAGAGTGCATTTACTATACGGGATGCTGACATTGGTAAAGAGAGTTCGGTTTTGAATAAGGCATTGCTTAAGTGAATAATATGGTAAGGTAAAGGCATTTCCAGCATTATAATGTGAATACGGGAAAGTATCTGTTAGGTTATCGTCAACTTAATCAAATTTTCTGAACTAGAATTTATCTAGTTTTGGGCTAGACTAATATTTTGTTTCGTTTGGTTGAAATATTTGTAATTATTCTATTGAAGATTTTGCCTTCCATGGATATGGATATGAAGCTCTCTTCCTTTTCGCGTTAAAGAGATGTGCGTTTTATTCGAATAAAAATTAAAAATGCTCAAAATAAGAAATAGTAACAGTTGAAATGATGGCCAAGATGCGTAGCATAGTAGTTGGGACTTTTTATTAGAGATTCCGATCCTAAAACAATTCATCGAATTTGCGGTGTTCACCGTCCGGCAAGAGCGTATTGAATAGTCGAAACTATGTCAACTACGGAGTACATCAAATTTATCACTGTTTAATGGATGAAAGTGAAATATCGACATCCCATTTTGCTGCGCATAAATATGTGATCAATAGTAATTTGCGACACATCTACTATGTTTGTGACAGGACTGGGCCTCTGCAAATAAATTTTATTGATGGCCATACAGGGACAAGGGTAGATAGATCTATGATATAGCATATCATAGATCTTCGTCTAGAAAACGAGTGAAGTGTAAAGATATCGTAATGCGAGTCCACGCCACAAAGACGTATTGCGTGCCGTCTTCTTTCCGCGTCCAAGTGTCAGATTTACGTGAAACTTGATAAAGTCTTGACAGGCAACTAATGTCTATTCGACTTGAACATTGCCGAACAGCAGAGTCAACCCTTAGGTGTGCTTCTGTCGACATAATCGTCTAATTTCGGTGTATATCAAACAAATCTAAATCGCAACATATTTTACATGGAAAGTATTAATAGTGTTGTTTTTGTTGTTAAAATATCATAGCGGTATATTGCTTTTACCCGTGGAATTTGTAGATTATTCTTCTGTGTTATTTGATTTTGATTGTCGTCAAAGGTAACTTAAGTCGCGGGCTCCTGTCGCGGTTTCAATGACATCCTTGTATAGCATGCAAAAACCCATTGTTTGCTATTGCCTATTCTAAGCCGGTAACTTATTACACAGTAAAACCGACTCCTGACGGGCGACTGTCAGCATTTTCCCGAGAACAGGATAACTGTATCCTGCCTTTGCTCGGTAAACACCATTGTGTTTGCGACAAGCTGTCTACCGTTAGGTAACGTCCCATATACTTGTTTACCTGTCCTGAATAGGTTTTTTTTGTTACATAAAAAGTACCAGAAATATAAATTACCGGGAACTTTCGGTTCAAACGGTTGGGATAATGCCGGTATCGATTCTCAAATTACTGATCTTAATTTATTATTTTTCAAAATGTAGCCCAAGATACGAGTTCATTTTTATAATAGTTACTGATGATGAGCAAATTAAAGTTTATCTAACATTTGACATAAAAATCGGTGATGCGAGTACGTGTATGTGTTGATATATATATTTTTTAGTTTGACATGGAGTACAAAACACAAAGCATAATATACATCAGTAAAACGTACTGTTACAAAATAAAATAAAAGCTTTTCCGTTGTGTTAAAACAGTATGATTCGACGGTAAATGCAGCATTTGAAATCCCTTTCCAATGTCTTACATTATCAATAATAATATTCAATCTTTTCTTTGTAATTTAAACAGAACAAATACAGTTAGCGATTCCATACTACCACAACCACAAGATCCACGAGAAGACGGAAAGATTAATATGGTTAAAATATCAGAGGGAAAGCAGGAGGAAGTTATTGTATCTGAGGATGCTGCAGATACTCAAGTGGAGATCATGCAGTGTTCTTCGCAAAGAGAATTGGAAGAAGCCGACGTGATGGATACAACAGAAGGCTTGAATATGATGAAAACAAATGTGAGAGAATGTTCTACGAATGTGAGAGAAAAGACGAAAACGATAGAATTGATCAAGAAAGATAGTGAGAATGAAAGAGAAACGGAATACAACAAAGTAAATATTCACCAATATTTAATATTGATATTATACTATTTTTCTTCTTTATAGTCAAAACCTAAATAAGAAAACATGTATGAAGCAGTCTTTGGATGGAATTTTATACTAAAAAAATCATGGCATAGAAAATCCTTGAAATCCAATCCTTCAATAAATTTCTGTTTTCTGTTTTTCCTCCCAAATCCAACATAATAATTTGAATTTTGTTTGCACTGTTCCATCTAATAAGGTGCATGCTATCATTTTCTAATTCATATACCTGACAATAACTTATCTCACATGAATGTGGTGTATTGTCCGAATTGAAACAAAATTAAGAAAGTTCGCTTTTGTTATATTGCAGTATCAAAATATTTCATCTGCAAGCACTCAAGTTCCGGTTTTAAATTTCAATAAAACTTCTTCCGCTTTTACTGAAATGCGAGCTCCCTTAGCCAGAAGTGAGGATTCTTCCGACATTTCGACGTCGTCAACTTCATTGACGTCACCAAGAGACAGCACTCCAGATTCTGTAACGAGGAACTCTCCAGGAATGAATCGAGGTGAAACATAAAAGCATAAAACTATATTACATGTTGTTTGGGCTTACACAACTTTTCAATAGAATTTTCTAATCATATTCAAATTTTGCCTTAATTCCATGTTTGTATGGCGTTTGAGGATAGTTTGATAGATGATAACCGATGTTTCAATCAAAACTTAGCGGTTTTATCTAAATTCATAGAAGCACGTTATTCAACTATGCCTTTATGCCAATTTTTCCAGAAAACTGACTTAAGATAAGCTTAAGCCTCATTGGTTCCGATGCGAGACCACCGTGTCCACCCATATATTTGAGTACTACTCTCTTGTTTCCATGAATTGTGTCACTGTGAAAAAACCAGCATCATGTTTGTACATGGTGTACATATATGTATAATAAATATATTTAAATCTAGCCTATTAATGGTAAATATGAAATGTTAAAGAAATTAGATTGTTCAAAAATAACTCAGCTATTCAAAAATAACTTTAGAAGATTCCACCACTGCAAATACACGATCCCCCAGTGGGAATGATTTCAATCGTGAATATTGCAATCAAGAAGTTTCTGAAGCCATTGTTCTACATGAACACCATCGGTAAGTTTGTGAGTTGAAAAAATGTTGATGTATAATTGGTGATCGTCAGATGTGTTTCTAGTCTTCTAACAATGGATTTTGAATCAACATGGTTTTCTAGGCGTTTTTACTAAGTAAATAATGACTAAATAACAAGCATACTAGTTTTTATATGAGTAATATTAATAATATTGTTTCTTTAAAATGAGAGGGTGGCTGGCAATTGTTTTACAAAAATATGTTTTTGTTCCTTACAGACATTGTTCTTCCAAAAACGGGCCAATGAACGCTTTACAACTACCTGCTATGAACCAAGCGGCGCTCCTCACGGCATCTGTGAATGGCCAGCCAGGAGCAGCCTTAGGTCTCTCGGAAATGTTCAAGTATCAACAAGCCGTGGCAGCAATGATAAATCGCGAATCTACGACATTGCACTCAGTAAGTATTTAAATCAGTTGAATATACTTTTGCCATAGAATACCACCATTTTTTAAGAAATTAAATGGTGACGTATTTGAAAATGTCTCGGAAACTGAGACCCGGCAACAATGGGGTGAAATTACAAACGATCCTTCGATATAGAAAAAAAAATTCTTAAGTCATTTCTCAGACGACGCACCTCTAACTTTCCAAATAGATGAACATCTTATCAATTTCATCCATAAGGCAGTTTTTATTCATTTTGTTCAAAATCCATCCATAAAATTTTCTAGATTCATGCGTTTGATTAATACCATTAAATTTTGCACCTCGTTTGTAAATGGTTGTAGATTCTTTGAATATTTTTGAATGAACGGATTTGTAATTTAAATATCTGCTTTGTTATTTTCGGAAATTCAAATATACTAATAACGTATGATTCTATTTATTCATTGACTAGATAGGATGTATCTAAACGCAAATCAATTTTAATAACCACAACACAATTTATTAATTATAAGCATGGGCAAGGTTCATCTTACAATGCTAAACGATGAGGTATCCAAAAAAAACGTGCAAAATATTTTTAATGTCTTTGCCATTACGTATAACTAAAGTCAGCCTTTCCAATAATAAACTGATCCCTATTGATACATTGGAGTTCCAAACGCAGCCAGCACAGATTTGCCGAAGTACCTCATTTAAGGACTGAAATGTTTTCTTGTTTATAATATCATTTACAATTTCTCACTTAACAGAGAATACAAAATAGCCCCAGCCAAGAAGAATATCGCTCGAACGATCAAAGGTGAGTTAACTTTTTATATTCATTATTACTCTCCTGTTTCATCTTTTTTATTCATCTTTATATAATATAAGGAAGTGTTTTACAACTCTATATTGTATTATTGATGTTAGGTTACTGAATAAAAAGGCAGACTCATTTTGTAATGTCATTTTTATGAGCTAAATTTAAATCTACAAAAACTGAACGACGTTCATTCAAAAAATCTCTGCAGTTGAATTGTATAATGTTTTCAGGTAGGTAGAGCAGAAATGAGGTCGGTTTTCGACGCCTCAAGTGCGTCATCTCACCATTTCATGAATTTGACCTTGCCAATGGCTATGTTTTAGTGTTGTTTCATTATCTTGTTAAATCAGTTCAAGTCCATTATCCAATAACTGTTTTTGCATTTATATCTTATTCCATTGTGATAATATCACGCTAGGAAAGATAAAAACGCAGTTGCATTGATATACAATGATACGTAAAATTACAATCAGCCAGGAAGATAACCTTTGATCAGGTCAATCTTTTAGGTTGTTTTTGCTAATTTGATAATTTTGCAATGAGATGCGATACTCCATTGAAACATAACGTCTTAGATAATGCTATTTTCCGGATTCTGTCATGTTCTTCACAAGTACGACATCCTGTGTCATTATTACCAGAACATAAGGAAATTATGAAGTACGTCCTCTGTACTCAAAACAATTCTTGTTTTTTCGTAGTAAATACACGCAACCACAAGGATTATATTCTCTGTTTTACTGTGGTTGTCACTTATCATTCGTACATTCTAGATTTCACGTCAGTATTCAAGCATGTTCACACATGAATTGGAAACGTAGAACATTATAAATATGTATTTTACAAGTAAGGAATGTAGTTAGTGGATACCTTTACAACCTAAACTAAGAAAATGCAACAAAGGCATACTTCCATTTTGCCTTACGTAAAACCAATGTCCACTGATTTTTAATGAATTTGGTTATCTCACCTTTCACTAAATAGAGTACAATGTGGACAATAGAGCTAAATCGGGTGTGCATGCCACTTTGCCATTGATAGTTTACAAATTTACACATTGCTCGTTCGCGATATAAGAGAAATGGCAATTACTATGCACTCCCGTGCATACGTATCATCATTTTTATTGCGTAAGTTATTGATTATGTGTGAGGTGTCGCATATAATATGAAGACATCTTCTATTTTTGAGCACTCGAACTTCTTATTCATATATGGAATGCGGGAAAGTACTTCTTTTCGCAAATCAAAGAAATCATGTTTCATATTTGAAAGATAATATATTCAAGAACAAATAATGTTGTAGCCGTCTTAATTTAGTTAACGCATTAATTATGCGTTTTCCTGATATATAAATGAACATTATTTTAAATTCCAAGTCTAATGGACTGATTTTTAAAATAACTCACTTAATTGAATTAAAGGTATATTCAGTATGACATCAGCAAAAAATTATTTGATAATATTAACATAAATTGCAATTTGCATTCCAAATAGCAGCCATGATACATTGTTTTATTTGTTTCATTTATTTTTGTTCCTCTGAAATTAATAATATCGCGTGAGTCACCTGTATCGGAATTCCACCATACATTAATCAAAACAAATACGGTCAGAAAGTTTTGTTATTGTTATGGATAAATAACAACTCTCTTAAAATGGCGTCTCATTTCAAACATACACTAATGAGGATTCAAACTCGAATAACATTTGATTTATATGGTTCTTGTGAATGATTTAAAAGTGCAATATAAATGAATATTCAACAATGCGATACTGCATGCAAATGAGAGAAATCGCTAATTGGCACCATGCCGTGACTTAGTTTCGCTGCCGTGTCATGACACCTTTGTTAGTCGCAGTCGATTAATCACACAACTTGGTAATTTATGGCCAGTGACGTTGTCCGCGGCTCGACGGGAGCATCATTCACTAACTCGGTCCGAAATTTTAGGGTCGGAAAGCATACTGCTCAAAATATAAAAAATACAACTCATATGCTATCTTAATTTTACCGCATGCTTGTTTATACCAGCTCAGCATTTTAACAACAAATGTAAAGGCTATGTATTAAAACTCAACTTTCTGTGCCAAACTAAATCAACTAAAAATGCATACATTTAATGAGGTGGGACGTAATAAAGACAATGAAAAAAATGTTTATTAACAGTGCAACGTTGGATATGTCATTTGAAATATTCCAACGCCTGGCATCTTTTCTTGATCTTTTGAAATATACGTGAAATATCACAGTATGGTAATATTTTCTATTGGAACACTTTTCCAAATTCCAGACGACTTTAATTGATGAAGGTCTAGACTTATTGGTCGTCCTTGGGAAAAAATATGAAGAAGCATCAAGATAAGCTGTTATATACAACAAAAAATATTATTTAAATTATTTTTATTTTATATTTTATACGTCATTCTTGACCCTGGAAAGTTTCTATATTATTTTGTATCTTATTACTTCTAACAATGCTTGACAACGCACGATATTCTTATTAACTGCCCCCATTTTTAAATTTTCTTGAATAAGTCTTTTTTTCTTTACGTTAACGTTGGGCTCAAATATCATACGAATAACATACAGATTCTTTGTAAAGGGTGTACGAACTGTTTTCTTCGTATTTGCCCTTTACGAAGTTTAATTCTCTCCTTCGCTCCTCAGCTTGTTAATCCCGAATTCATATTTGCATTACTCTCGCATGCGTAACGTCTTCAAACGAGAGTCATTAAACGCCGCTAAGCTGAGAATGGTCGGGCCAAAGCCGGTTTGTTTTCTTCACTTTTTTTTATCCTTGTATTCTCTATCCGTGTTTAATGGCGAGATCATTCACCGTAGTGAACAAAAAAACTTTCCCATAGCTAATTGTAACAATAATCTTCCTACTTCAGCAGAGAAATTTAGACGAATCGTTTCTGAGGGAATTAAGCGATAAGGTGGTGCGAACGAGTTTCCGTTCTTTGTTATAACAACTATGAACCTGAGTGTGATTTTATTCCCCAGGAGCGATTTGTATGTGATCCATCTTTAAATCCATGAAAATCCAAATCCATTGGGAATTTTAAACTTTAGAAACATTGACTAAAACTCAATGAATCGATTTTGCTTTTAAAAAAACAACGAAAAGTTATGATACTACACATTGTATCGTAAAATGTTTCAAGAGATTAAAAATAAAAGCAATTGTAATGAGGGAATTCAATTTAGAAGCACTTTAATCAACTTGTCATCAAATTTTATAGATTCAAAAAATAATTTTTAAATTTGGAATCAACATTGCGGTAAGGCAATTGAATGATCCATTTGTGATAAATGAGATACTGTATGGTGTTTCGATTACAACTAGTAAACGATGACATTATGGAATGAACAAATAATTTTCCGAGTCGCTGACAAAATTATCATTTGTAGTTTTTTTACGTTAGAATACCACGCACATCTATCTATCTATCTTGTTATTCGTTTGCTTCGCGCGACTACACTCGACGGTGATACCTGATTTTAAATTACAGATGGGTGTGGTGCGGTGCCGCCAAGTTGGCTGACATAAAAATTACTCCCTCGCGCGCGAAATTCCCATCTTATCGTGGCATCCTTTTGGTGTTCGTTACAAACGCGCATAAGCGTCTCGATTTCGTATCATCTTTTTGTTGGTATAATTTGATTTTGTATATTAATCAAATGAATGGCGCGTTGCTGCCGATGATTCCCGGTTCGAATAACGTTAGTTTAACAAATATCCCGGACCGGTGCAACGGACGGACAGGGGGTCTCAAATTCGACGGGGCTAATGAATAGAGGCGCGGGCGCGCAATTCGTCTTGTCTCCCGTGCGACATATCATATCCTATCTTGATTACGATTACAGGATGCCGCGAACCTCATGTTGCTTCCTGTTTTGTCGACACCCTTTCTCTTCACTCCTGCATTTGCAGATGCACCTTTTGAGATAATTTGGAAATACCTATTACTCTTACATAAAGGGTGGCCCGAAGAAGATTAAATCATATTTTCTATTGGACTACACTAATATATTGATCATTTACCGAATGTGACAACTTCCCTAAACCCAGATATAAGGTTCAGCTGAAATGTCATCGTGATTTAATTAATAGACGATGATATCCGAGTCGGCATCATTTTTTGCATTGAAGACACAGGAAAAGGATGGGGTTATATTCGGTGTCACCTGATCACGTAATGTCAAAGATCCCATTAATTTTATCTGCATTGCTGGTTGAACTCAGATGTCCATTCTTTTCAATTATTTAACTTCAATTATATAAAAAGAAAACGATTTCGATTGGTATTCCAGGGGCAAATTTAATTTTTATTTCTTGGAGGTACAATGGGATAAAGTATGGTTAAGTTGAGTAATTTTTTCATATCATGGTTCTTTATTGTGGGTGTATGAATCAATCAGATTGATTATATTTTGCTTTTAATTGATGATTTTTAAAACTAAATTAGGTCCTACTGCCAAGTTATGCAAATTTACACAGAGATATTTACGATATTGCGACCTTTCGTGATGATGTTTGTTCTCGTCAAAACACAAAGCTTTCCCAATTCAGACCCGACGGGGGTCCCCCGCAACATTACATTTCCATCCACCACGAAAGTTTGTGTCCCCATTTTTAACAAAAGCCTATGCAGCCTCCTGACGCTTTACGACCTTTTTCACCAATTGGAAGCGTCCGTGAATCCCCATTGCCGATGTTTCTCGTGAATATTAATTAGTGTCAATGTGCTCTGTTTTAATTATGTAATAAAGCTGAGTTTTTGTGCGTAATATGATCTCATAGTTACACATGAACTTGTAATGTCAAACTCCAGATTGTCGGTTTTCATCAACTCATGAAAAATACTAGGGAAACTTGGATATTGTGTATTGAACTGCAGGTCCTTTCTCCTTGTTTACTCATTCGCTATTTGATTAAATTATATCTTGTATTGTTTAAAGAAGTTATTCCATGATTTAACGAAAGCTCACGAATATACTTACTATTTCGTTGAAAGA